CATTATATATTCTGCATTTTTATGAAGGCAAACGTGCTAAATGTATTGCGGTGTGTGTGTGTGTGTGTGTGTGTGTGTGTGTGTGTGTGGGTGTGTGTGTGCGTGTGTGTGTGCGTGTGTGTGTTTTCTGCCTGATGCAGAGTCAGCTTTATGTTGTGTATCGCTAACAGGAAGACTGCATTATTTATCAACTGCAAGGTCCATTTCATCTGTTCCTGTCCGACTTCTTGTACCGGAAACATGTTGCCTTTATAGTATAATTTGACATTGCTCAAACATTAACGGTTCAAACATTGCATTGTTTACAACAAAGTCTTAAAAAAACATTTRAAGGCAATTTAAATGCAAACTTACCAAAGAAGAATAGATGGGGAGCTCTTTGTTTGGATTGACCAGTAAAAGGATATGCCCAATGTAAGTCTGAACATAAGCAGATAAACACATTTAAGTAATGAATGAATAAAAATATATATTTTTAAATTAATAAATAAATAGAAAAAAGTAGGTCCTCTGGATGGGTTCTTCCAGAGGACCTACTTTTTTTTTCTTCCTACCTGATTACTGTGATGCATCAGAACATAATTAATAAACACACTAAAGTTCTGTTCATTTCTCAAATAATTAGTGAATTATTAAAATACATTACAAACACATTTCTATAGTGTTACAAAAGTCAGTAGTTTCATTCATGTCTATTTACTCTTTATATTTTATTTTATTTTATTTTGTTTATTTTTCCACACAGCCACAGTATTTTTGACTTGACTCTTTTTTAGAATTAATTACACATGTTGTTCATTTTAGTCTGTTTTAAATACTTGACCAAGTGTGGATTTCTATGATTCTATAGGTGTTGCACAGAAGCACAGGAAGCTTAAACTGATTTTAAATTGATGTGCTGCCCTCATTTTGTCTTTTAAGCATGTTTTAATGTTCACATTTTTTAAAGATTAAACCTATGATAATTTTAAAAGAGCAAAATGTAAATAAATTAATGCAAGACTTTTTACAAACATTTTTTTCTTATAAAGACAATATATTTTCCACTCACTGTAACTTTAAAGC